CCGCCTGACGTCCGCGGCCTCGCTTCATCCCCAAGGGCCCCCGGGAGCCGGTCCCACCTGCCGTCCAGCAAATGAGCCTCAGGGAAGGGGCTCCTTCGTCCGAGGCCACACAGCTAGAGGCACCAGGGTTCAACCCAGTTCCTACGCGCTGTCCAGGTGGCCCTGGGCGTTTGTGTAGCACCCTGTGGCATGTGAGAGTCCGGTCAAGTCCAGGGCTCGAGGGGCTTCCCAGGCGCGCCGGTGCAGGTGGGGCAGGACCTTCCCCGCAATGGGTAGTGAATGGAGGTTCAAGGTCACGTGGCTGGTCAGTGGAAGCCCTCTGCCCAGCTGGGCCTCGTGGCCGGAGAGAGCTGTACCCCCTGCCCAGCGCCCTGTCCCCCATTCATTGCCATCTGATGCTCCCGGATTTCCAGGGAAGGAGGGACCAGCTGCCGGAGTTCCCACCGGACCCTTAGCCTGTCCCCACCGCCCCTGCCCCTCCCCCGTGTCCCCTCCGCACCCGAGGCAGGTCCCAGCAAACACCCGGTAGTTCTGGGGGCAGAGTTTCCAACACTGACCGCGCCTGAAGCACCGGCAAGAACTTCCCCTCCTAGATCCCCTCATAGGATCAGGGGCTTAGGGCCATCTCATTGGTTTTCCACCATTTTCCAGAAAAGAAAACTAAGACCCGGAAAGGGACAGTGATTTGTCCAGGGTACAGTGGCCAAGTCAGGCCCGGCATCTGGCCTCCTGATGCCCTGCCCACCCTCCGGCTTTGTACCCCGTCACCCCTGTGTCTCAGGTCCTTAGGGACTAGGAGGCGAGCCCCACCCTGCCACGGATCCCAGCCCCTTCCCGACCCCCGGGATGCCCAGGCATTTGCTCGCCCTGCAGCTCATGAGCAATAGGTCTTTTCCCTCCTCTGAAGGCCGCAGCTGGAGGAATTATAGCCCTTGTCGTCCTGTTTGGGTGACTGATGGAAAGGCACTTCCCCCTCCCGGGGTGGGGTGGGAGGTAGGGTGTTCAGCCGCCCCCTCCATCAATCTGGGTCTCATCAATCTGGAGAGACTTCCAGATTTTCTGGGTGGTCTGCCCCTCCCCACCTTGCTCTCCACATGATGGAGCCCCTGGCCAGCCAGGCCCTTAGGGCAGGGGGGCGGATTGGGGGGGGAAGGGGCCTTGGGGTGTCCCACCCACCCACCTATGCAGAGGCCTAGAGCTGTTCCTGCAAGACTGATAGTTTTAGGGGGGCCCGGGAGTGCCTTGGCTCACCTGACAGATTCACTTCTCCAAAGAATGTTTAATTTGACTCATTTCCTACAGACTCAGGGTAGCTTCAGAGACCCCATGTCGCTGGGGCTCCTGGCTCCCCTCCTCCAAGCGTCCCAGACCCCTCAGGGGATTGGCCCAGACCTGGGTTTCCCCAAGCACTGCCCTCGGGCACCCTCTGTCGCAAGTGTCAAAGCCGCTTGCTAAAAGGCAGCCCTCCAGGGCGCCTGGGTGGCTCGGTCGGTGGAACCTCCCATTCTTGATTTCAGCTCAGGCCACGATCTCAAGGTCATGGGATGGAACCCTGGGTCGGGCTCCCTGCTAAGCATGAGAGCATTCTCTCTCTTTCTCTCTCTCCCCCTCTGCCCCACCTCCTCTCCCCTGCTGGCCCTCTCGCTCTCAAATTAAAATATAACAATAATAATAATAAACATATAAAAGGCACCTCTCTGAACCTCATCACAAACCCCGGGATCCCAACAGTTAAGCATCAGGGTGGCTCTCGTGTGCACAAGCGTCTGAAACCCGCTGGCCTGGGAGCAGCAGGGCCGAGTGGTGCTGCCTGCAGGGGTGAGGCCGCGGCCGGTGCTGGGATCCAGTCCAGGCTCCACCAAGCAGCGGCTGTGGGACTTGGGCTGGTCAGTGGCCCTCCCCGGGGTGAGTCTCCTCACCTGTGACACGGGGGCGAAGGTAGCCTGTTCCCAGGAGGATTGTGGGAGCTCCCGACTGGGCCGGGCTCACCTGGCATCTGGCGCAGGAGAGACCAGCGTTTCTTTTATTATTACGGTGGAAATTATTTGTAAACTAAAGCCGCGGTCAGCGGGGGGCCACCGTTGCAAATCCCTTTTTGCAATCGTAGTGGCAGGAACCACGGAGTGCTGGTTACTATAAGCACTTGGTTGCACAGTGGCCCCAGGAGGTGGAGATCGCGGACCCATTCCATGGAGGGGCAGACCGAGGCTCAGAGAAGCAGAGGGCCTTGTTTCAGCTCAGTCACACGACTAAGTGCCCGAAGCAGCGACTCTGACTTCACTGCCCCTAAAAGCTGCCGCGTCCCCTTTAACGCATCCGTGCAGCTCAGCGAGCAGGGACTGACTTTCCCTATTAATTCGGAGCATGTTTATATGTACATTTTCAACTTTAATCATTTGCTGCTTTAAACTGAGGTCTTCCCTGCCCGCCAGCAAGAGCGGGCTGCGCTTGAGTTTCTCGAGCGTGTCCGCTGGTCCCAGAAGGGTGGGCAGTACCCTGGAGACTTCACCGATGAGCCTGGTGATCTCTGGTGCCCACACCCTGTCCCCTGCGCCCTGGGGGCCGTCTGCATCGTCTGGGCCACGGGGCTCCCCCCCACCCCCCCACCCCCACCCGCGGAACCTGTCTACAGGACACTACAGTAAAAGCCCAGGGTGGGATTGGCCACCTTGCCCCAGGGTCCCCCCCCTGCCCGGCTCCGCGCCTCTCCCCCAGGCCTCAGCCCTCACTGCAGAGGAGAAGCTGGCAAGGAACGGAAAAGCTTTGCGGGAGCCCTTGCTTCTGGACGAAACGAGAATCCTATTTTGTAAAGTGCTGGCAGTGTGTGTTTCTATCTTCCTTCCTCCAACCAGCTATTATCTGGCAAGTGACAGGTTCGGGCAGGCTCCACGTGCACTTGCTGGCCGGCTGTGCCCGTGACCCCGCCTCCCCCCTCCCTGTGGTCCTGCAGCCTCCTAGAGCCAAGCCAGGGTGGGGAGGTGACAGACCGCAGACCCTTCAGCCAGCAGGCACAGCCCAGAGGTCCCCGGGGCGGGCAGGGGGAGGGGGTCCGTGCTGCGCTGACCGAGCTACAGGCCTCCAGACCCGGATCTCGGGGAGGGTGGCTGTTAGCCAGCGGTGGGAGTGACACGGGTCGGGGACTGAGCACTCGGGCCCCAAACACGTGCCCTGGCGAGCCATCCCACACACCCACCCCGGAAAACCGGGTCCCGTCACTCTGGCTCGCAAAGGGGGGTTGGTTACTCTTCCAGGGTCACTTGCCCAGCGAATGGAGGAAGGTCCGAGTCAAAACCCAGGGCTGACGCCAGAGCCTGGGTCCCAACCACTGCCCCCACCGTCCTGCCCCCATCCCGGGCACCCTATGTGCCTTTCCTGCCCGTCAACCCCGGGGAAGCGGCCTGAGGTCGTTCTCTGTCAGGGACCGCTCCTCCCGGGCCTCAGTTTCCCCATTTGTAACCAGGGGACAGCAACTCAAGTCCTCCCTCCTGGCAAGGCTGCGGGGGGTGAGGTGAGGCGGTGGACATGGGAGCTGTGACCCAAGAAAGTGGAGTTTGCGTGGGGGCTGGGCGGGGCGGGTGGGGTATCCCAGGGCCCCCTCCTGTTTGCAGAACCATCACCCCTGCCTCCAGGGCCTTGCTGGGGGGACCGGGAGAGACCGGGTGAGGGTGTCTCGTAGCCTGAAAGGTGCCTTAGGAATTCGCGGAACGAGGTGGGCCAGGTCCTGCGTGCCCTGCTGTCGGCCCCGCTTCGGGGCTTCGTTAAGTCACCCACCCACGTGTACCTGGCAAATGGGTGGGCTGGGATTTGAACCTGGTGCCAGGTGCCCACCTGGGCTTTTGTCTCCAGTCACCTCACCGGGGCTGAGGCCCAGAAATGGATGAGGACAGGGCCTGGGGCGCAGCAGGGGCCCGGGTCTCTGTTGAAGCCCCTCTGTCCCTTCCCACCTGAGCCCCCAACCTGAGACCTCCTCGGATGGGGGCCAGGGCAGGGTGGGGACCTGCCGTCATGCGAGGAGGGGCTGGCCCGTGCCGGCGGGTGCTGGCAGGGGCCCCCCGTGCTCCACAGCTTTTCTCCGAGAGTCAAGGCCACATGGCTCACCTGCTGAACTCGGTCAGTGACGTACTAGACGCCCTGCAGAGGGACCGGGGGCTGGGCCGGCCCCGCGTCAAGGCTGACCTTCAGAGGGCGCCTGCCAGGGGATTGCGGCCCCGGGGCTGCGCCAGCGGTGAGTGGGGTGCCCAGCTTTGTACCCCCGAGGTCCCTCCCCCACCCCTCTGATAAGGAAACGCTGTTCCTGTTCGCTCAGGACTTTCTGCAGCCAGGCAGCACGGAGCACCCGACCTGCACCCTTCTGTTGAGCCCTCTCCCGGCCCACTGTGCCCATTTTTCAGATGAGGAAGGCAAGGCTCAGAGAGGGTGCTCACTCACCCAAAGGCATGCAGAGAGTAGCAGAGCCAAGGTCTGCCCCCAAGGCTGGTGCCCTGGGGCCCACATGACCCCGCAGGGTAGACTGACAAATCAGGGAGACCCAGGGACGGAGGGGGGTGGGGAGGGACACGGGTGCCAGGGCACCGCCTTGACTGCATTCCCTGTCGCAGGCCCTCCGCCACGCGACTGCCTGGACGTGCTCCTGAGCGGACAGCAGGAGGATGGCATTTACTCAGTCTTCCCCACACACTACCCTGCCGGCTTCCAGGTCTACTGTGACATGCGCACGGACGGCGGCGGCTGGACGGTGAGTCTCCCGCGCTGCGCGGCCGGCTTCCTCTCGGCCCCGCAGACGCCCAGGCAGGCCGGGGTGACCCAGGGGACTGTGCCCACGAACCTGGCTACTCTGAGCGGCCTCTCACTCAGCCTTCTGCCCTTGGCCCAGGCCTGCCTGTGTGCCCTCTGGCCCCCACAAACCTGCCTCGAATCTCACCCGGGAACGCCACACCCCCAGAAACCTGCACAGGGCAGGTGGAGGCCATGAACTGAGGCCCCGTCACCTGTCCGTGGAGCCACCTTCTGCTCCCCGATCCTCGAGGCTCTGGGAACACAGTGCTTGCCCCGGGAGTGTCGGGCAAATGGGGGATGGGCTCTGTGACGAAACGGGGCGCCTGTCGTCGATGTGAGTTCAAGGGCGTGTGTAGATGCTGTCTTCTGAGTTACCCGATACGTGATGTGTGTGCCCCCTTTTGGGGGGGGGCACACGGCAGAGAGCAGAGACCCCGATGACTTCCTGCCAAAGAGCTGTCGTGACTTCCGTGACTTTCCTGCCCCTTCTGGTTCCTGCCTGGGTGGGAAGTAGGAGCCATGGAAGGTCCCCACGGCCAAGGGAGGGCGGGGAGGGGTGGCCATGGGTGGCCCTGAAATCTCCCCGGAGCTGGGAGAAGGGGGCAGAGCGGCGGGGAGAAGCCCCTGGCTGGACCCTCTCAGTAACACTTGTGGACACGGAAATGTGAGCTTCATACATTTTTCCCGTACTCTCCAACTATTATTCACAAGATATTTTAAGGTATTCTTCTTATGCTTTTTAAAAGCCATTTAAACATGTTCCAACCATTCTTGGCTCACAAGTCAGCTGAAAACAGGCAGCAGGCAGGCGTTGTCCTGGGGGGCCGTGGTTTGCTGACCCCCCCCCCCATTCTAGAGCTGGGATAGGAAGTGAGCTTGCTGTCTCTCTCCCACTCAAATCGGTGGCCTTCCAACCCTCTCCTGCGGCTCCGTCTTGGGGGCCGGGCTTCAACAGGGCTGCCACTGGCCATTGGGTGACTTTGTATAAATTAAAAATGCATGTCCTTTCCTTTTGGCACACTGGCGCCCTGGGCTTGGCAAGATGAGTAGGTGTGAGCCTTGCTTCTTGGCCAGACGCCCTAGAGCAGTGAACAACCTATACCACTGTCCCTGGACATCTGCATCCACCCCGAAAGCCGCTCAGCGCCCCCGAAGTCGGCCATGGTTGGGAGGCCCAGGGACAATGAAAGCAGAGCCAGTAAAGCCGGCTTTTTAAGGATTCTCGGCCTCACATTTAATTTCAAAAATGGGCAGGTTTTGAGCGCCAACTGCGTGCGGGGGGGCTGGGGAAGCACAGAGATGGGGAAGGCCCTGCCGCAGTCGTCCCAGACAACTTGGCAACTGCGAGGATTTGGGGGGCAAGAAGTGACGGTAAGCAGAGGTGGGGGAGGCTCTGTGCGAGCTTCCTGGCGAAGGGGGCTTTGCTGATAAGCCTTAAGAGGCCGACGAAAACAGGAAGTGGGAAGGAAAGAGAAGGCTTTCCAGGCAGAGGAAGCAACCTGACAAGGGTCTGGGACTCAGGAGGCACGCAGCCTCTCCAGGAAACAGAGTCAACTGGGGGCCGGGGCACGTGATGAGGTGAGACTGGGGCCAATAACCCAGACTGCGGGGTTTGGGCCGGGCGCCGGGGAGCTATTGAGGGTGCTGGAGAGAGGAAAGACGGCATAAGAACTGTGCCTCCGGAGCTATAACCCGACTGTGCATCCTTGAGCGGGGCAGGGAGAGTGTAGAGCAGGAGGCGGTTCCCTCATGCCGCTGACAAGCCTGTAGCTGAGCCTCTGCCGGAGAGGTCGGGAGCTTGGCGGTTGCGCACTTGGACTCCGGCATCCACAGACGGACCCGGGGGGGGCTCTTGGTCCTGCTGTGTGATCTTGGGGAAGGTACTTAAGTTCTCTGAGCCTCGGCATCCTTAGCTGTAAAATGGGGATACCCACTAGCCTTACTTAGAGGTCTTAACGGCAAGCAACAGGAAATGGCTCTTTTAAGCAGGAAAGGAATGTACCGGAAGGAGGCTGGGAGGCCAGAGAAACCAGCTCAGGGCCAGGCAGCCAGGAACGGAGTCCCCCAGAGCTAGCCAGGCATGACCTGGTAGAAAACCCCCTACCCCAGTGCCGCTGGCACGGAGCCCTGGGCACAGCTACACCTGGGACCAGGACGGGTCCGGGCCTGGGATGCAGTCTGCGGTTCCTTTCAAGGAGATCCCCTGTGTCCCTGCCTCTTTGCTTCCCCAGCCGTCGAGCCAGCGGCTGTTCTGACTGGTGGGGCCGGGGCCGCGTGCCGACGACCCTCACCGCAAGGGAGGCTGAGAAAGCCAGCGGCTGGAGCCTTTAGCTGCCATGGTGGGAGTCATCCCTGCCTCCCCCCAAATCTCAGAAGATGGGGAAGGACGCAGGTTGACCGTGTGCAAGGCACTGGCGACCCAATGATGACCGAGCTATGTATGACCCCGCCTCTTACCGAGCTCTTTCCCAAGAGGGCGTCCACCATAGTCCAGGGGACAGTCGTGGGGACCCGAAGCAGGGCATGGGGTCAGCCGTTTCCCAGGGGTCCCCAGATGGGCTCCCAGGTCTCTGCCTTTGGCACCTGGGGCCTCAGGGAGAGGCTGGCAGGACGCCTCCGTTTCTCACCAAGAGGCTTGGTGCCATCTCTGCTGTGCTGATGTTCAGGCAGAGGGGAGCAGGAAGCTTCTCCAGGAAATGCGTGGAGGGACCCGAAGGCGCGGCAGGCCGGACGGGGTCAGTTTTGAAAGGGGTCGGCTCTCCTGAGCTGGTGGCGACAGGGGAGGCCCGAGTGAGGCAGGTGGGCACGGGGGCCTGGCGAGTGCGTTCAAGAGGGCAGAGCCGGTGTGAGAGCAGCTGGGGGTCCCCCAAAGACCCGGGGACAGACAGACCCACAAGCCTCTCTTCAAGCTCCGGAGGAGAGCCCTTACGCCTCCCGGATCCGCGTCTGGGGGCTAAAAGCTCTCTTCCTAACTCAGAACATCTGAGTTACGGCGCGTGCCTCTGGGAACCCCCTCGGCAGGCAGAGCAGCATCAATGCGACAGCCAGTGCCCAGAAATCAGAGTTAAGGGTTAGGACGGGCTTAATGAAAGACCAAGGAGGCAGCACAGGCGCTTCCTCTCGGGTGGACGTGACGCCAGTGTCCCGGAAAGTCCATCAGGATTTGGGCCGGGAGGAGGGCGACATCCAGGGCCCGGGCTGCAGGGGCCGTTACAGGGGA